AAAATTCCCCAGCCAGCCTTGGTGGCTGGGGAATTCTGGGAGTTGAAGTCCACCCGTCTCAAAGTTGCCAAGGCTGAGGAACCCTGGAATAGACAATAGAAGAGCTGGAATTCTAAACATGAGTATTCTACAAGTTCCCCTTGTTGCAAATCCCACTTGTTGCTTTATAATTCAGCTTCACTAACAGTTTTGACTTTCAAAAAAACAAAAAAGGTAATATGCCTTTTAAATATTTACCTGTATTATTTTTAGGGGTCTTTTTCTTTTTTATATCATAAAAACAACTTAAAATACTCTTCTTGGTATCTTTTACTAACATTATATTGAGCAATAATTGTATAACCTCAGTAATTATCTGATCATTCATAGATAATATATTTTTGGGAAATACACATTTGTTTTAAGTAAAAGAAAAAATAAAAATAAAAATAAGCACAGAGTATTGTTGATGTACCTTTTTAAAAGAGGGAAATGAGTATCTATCTATATCTGCATATCAGTACATGCCATGTTATTGTTAAATAAAGTTTTAACTGTTAAAAAAAAAGAAAAACATCAAATGCCATCATCAGTCACATATCAGGTTGGGATGAAGGATTCTGTATAAGTCCGCAGGCAACTTTCCATTCTGGTGATTTTTAAATATATTTTGCTGGACTGTTACAGGGCAGGTAGATTTACTTTTTAAACAGATAAGATGGTTGAAATTCTTGTATTTAAAAAGTAAATTCAATCTACTTTACTCCTTATCACAGATTTCCCCCTCTTCACCCCAGGGAAAATGAACATGACTGGACTTTGTTCCTGTGAGCAGTCACCCTGCTTTGGATCTGCTGGGAGAGAAACACCCAAATTCTCTCCCTAAGAGATCAGACATATTACCCTTAAAACATTGTAAAATAATTCCCTGACATGCAGAAGCAGTCAGTAGGGATTGTGAATTCCCTCGGCTCTTTAAAAACACTGAACCATGGCTTATAAAACAGTTGGCCAGGACGATACTTACAATTCACTGAGAACACCAGCTTGTGATATGGAGGAAGGCTTAGACAAAGCTGTCTGATCCCCTTATGTATCAATCAGTGTTTGTGATACCACAATCAAGTGTGTCACTTTCAGCAGCCATGTGTGTAGTAAAAATGGTGGTAGTGGTAGTAAAGTTTCTCTAGCACTGAGATGCCAAAAACTGCTGACAGCAAGTCTGCAGGTAGTTGCACTTTATTGTAGATGAAATTTGGGATACAATGAACAGTGAATCCAGAAGAGAAGAGAATGCACCATGTAAGCACTGCTAAAATCTGTTCCTGAAAGCAACTGTAATGAGGCATCTGTGAGATGAGGAACAGTTGCAATACCACAAACAAAGGTGCTAAGGGCACAACTTTATTTGCAATATTTAGACAAAAGTAGTAAAGCTATGGATGGTGGACTGTGTTTAATCTTTGGGAACCTATTATTTCAAAACTTCTGATGTGCTACACAAAATAAAAGGAATGTTGTTTTCAGGACAAAAATCTACAGCTAACCATATGAACCAGGTCCCCAAACAGTTCATTTCATTGCTGATCACTGATGGTAACTAGCAAGTTCTTTTCAAGCCATTTTTTATCATAAAGTGACATAGAGATATTTGTATAGAAAGGAATGGATCATTCTTATTTTGCATTTCTCTTATACAAACATTGAAAAGTACATTCAAGAGGATGTTTGCATCTGCTTTTTCAAAGAGGAGTAGTTTAATTCTACCTCCTTGCAGCAATAAAGCCACTGACTGCTAGACCTGTGCAAATAGATCTTGGAGGGTGTGCTTCCCTTTAACAAAGGCTCAAGAGAAGAATTTGCTCAAAGCTGCTTTGCAAAGCAATGTTCCTCTTCACATCTAAGTGAAGCAGCTGTGTGGCCTCATCTCACACTGCTCTCAGCTTTCCTCCAGCACTTGCAATAGCCAGAAGAGGTTTCTGTATATGTGCAGAAGCCTCTTCTAGTTATTTCAAGGGCCAGGAGATGCTCTGAGAACATATAAAGTGCTTTGTCAAGACAAACTGCATCACCTATTCACTTTAGTAAGTTGCATCTATTGCCTTCACATCATGAAATGCCCTGGCAATGTAAACCAAAACCACTTTGCACAGGCCTACTGACTTACTCTACCAATTCAGCTGTGAGCCATTTTAGATGCCAGCAGCTTTATCTGAGGAGTTATTTATTCATGTAATTCTTCCCAACCTGGGTGTCTTCCAGATGTACATTGACTTCAGTTCCTAGAATTCTTCGGCCAGTATGGATGTTGCTAGGAATACTTGGAGGTGAATTCTTGGAGAATACTTATGATGAGGAAAGCTGATTCAGTATATACGTAATGCAATAGACAACCTGTTGCCCTTGGGTGTTATTAATTTCAATCATGCCCATCCACCAACATGGTCAGTTACAATGGATTGTGGTACCTGTAGTTTTAAGGAGACATACAAATACAGGCAGAAGCAAAAAGAAGGGATGTCTGAGCTTGTAGCCTTATCAATGGGCTGCAAAGGTGCTATTTTGTTTTGCAAGATCTCAACAAAAATGGCCAACATTTGGCATTGTTCTAGTGAAGAAGGAATAGAACATTGTCTTGCCTAAGGAAGTTGAGGGTTTATCATGACCTGCTCTGCAGTCTCACAGAATGATAACAATTGCCTGAAGAGCACATGAATCAACTGACTGTGTTGCTACAAAAAGTCCCCAAGGCAAGGGAAAAGGTGTGAGAAATATGAATTGGTCATTGCCTAGATAGACTATTTCCAACAGGCCTAGCATATAAGTAGTACAGAATAAATTATTACTGCTCTTCCATTTCATTTGTCCAAACTGAAAAGAAAAGGGAGGATTATTCCAGAATGCCATGCGTGTTATAATATGGTATCCAGACTGCCACAATTATCTTACCACTTTCAGCAGCCCATTCATGCAGTTTGAAGGATATTACATATAACCCACTCAGGCATATAGGTTGTTGTAGATTCAGCCACTCACAAATTTTGTAGTGGCTTTCCCTAAAGTGGCAGCTCCCTAGTGTATTAGGGCTCAAAATGTCCATGCAGCATAGTCAATTTCTGAGAGTTGCAGTCTCAGCACATCTGGATTGAGGTCGGTATAGGCTGCTCTACAGCATAATTCACATATCTTCTCTTGTGGAAAAATGTGTCTCATGCTACAAAATCCCCATGCAATGGGCTTGGCCTCCGTGGTTCAAGAGGATATCAAACAAGTCACAACAAACAGAAAAATTG